TGGATGGAATCAAAATTAATGTGACTTCTAGCGCCACTTTTTTATTTTGATATTTTTATGAAAAATATAATAAGAAATTAATGACATATTTTAAATATTTGTTAATTTATCTTTTAGTTTATTTTTATAGAATAAATTTAATATGATTCGTTGATACTGTTGTCATAGAAAGAGTCAATCCCCATGGTGCTAAGTGAGCGCATCTTTTTAATAAGTTGATAAAGCAAATATGGTAGGAATTGAATTGAAAGGAGCATTTCGTGGTGAAACACGTAGAAGTTTAAGATCAGGTAGATAATATATATATATATATTTATTATGTATTTTTGAATAAATATGAATGATAACATGATAAATTAAGGTTTTGGTGTTTATCAATATTTAAATCCATTCTTTCGATATGAAGGAACATGGCATGAAGGCAAAAAACATGGTATATTTATATAATAATTTTTAACCATATCTGGTTTGTCTTTTTTCGATGAAGGTTTTGGTAAACTAATATTTGCTGATGGTTCATATTATCAAGGAGAATTTGCTAATAATGAAATAATGGGACAAGGTACACGTTATTTTGCATCATCACGTAATACATATACAGGTCATTTTTATTATGGTAATATAATTTCTTTTTGTTTTATATTTCGAATGAAATTCTGTCTATCTATAGGTGAAATGGATGGACATGGACGATTGAAGTAAGTTGAAATGTTTGAATGATATGTGAAATTAAAAAGAAAAATATTATTTTTAATTCAATATAAAATTATGATAAATTAATTGAAGATATTTCTATATGTTTCGGAAGCTTTTCTTTTTTTAAATAGAACTTGTATTTTATATGTTAATCTAGAATGGGTAATGATGATTGTTATGAAGGAGATTTTAAATCAAATCATTTTGAAGGTGAAGGTAGTTATCTATCACATGATAAACAATTATATACTGGTACATGGCATAATCATCGTCGTCATGGATATGGAGAACAAACATATCTGGATGGAAGTCGTTATTCAGGTGATTGGATTACTAATAAACGACATGGTTTTGGTAAATTGACTGATGCTCAAGATGGATTTATTATCTATGAAGTATTTTGATTTTTCTTTTTGTTTAATTTCAAAGATAAATAAAATTTATTTTTGTAGGGTAGTTGGAAAAATGATTTAATGCATGGTGAAGGAACATATAATCTTGGTGAATCTTATACATATCGAAATGGTATGATAATTAATAATTATCCAATTGGATGGCCATTTCGATTATATATTAATGAGAATCAAACATCAACACTTATACTTACTGAAGAACCAATAATAATAACTGTTGATATTATTGATTCATCAGAAAATAATACTCGAGTTGAAGCTGATTGTGGACGTTTAATTCGACTTCGTTGTGGTCAACAAACTGATCAACCAACGAGTGATAGTCTACCAACACCATTGTATATTATGATAGAAAATAAGAAATGAATAATTTGATAATGATTTTTTTGTTCTGTTTCAGTGGTTTTCATGTTAATTTGATTCCAAGAAGTACAAATCCTATTTCATTTGATGATCAATTAGTATCAGCATCAAATGAAGAAATGAGTTAGTTAATTGGTGATATATATTCAAAATTTTTAATAATCATTGTTTCTATATAGATATGAGTGAAAGAAACCAACCTATTCAAGATTCAATGTTAGCTGCTGCTGATAATGGTCGAGCTCAATTTATAGGTATTAACATTAACACATTTGTAATGCAACGTGCAAGTTCTTCAGCGTCTTCTGGGTAAGTAGAATAGTCATATATATGAAATATATATTTCTTTTAAACTATTCATCCGAAAACAATGAAAATCTCTCAATATTCTATGATGATCTTTCGAGCAATGAAAAAAAAAACGTTTTTCTTTTAGAAATTTATTCACTAAACTTGTTGAAACATTTTCTATTCATTTTAGTTCACAACAACTAACGCAATCAGCTTCAACTTCATCGTCACAACCAACATCTGCTAGAAGTAACCGTCGAAAAGGTACTATCTTCTTTTGTTCCCCCTGATATTCTATAACTATTCTTTTTTTTCTTTTTTGTTTTCTAAAATATCAGATAAACTAAGAATGCAATCATTTGTATTTATCATCGATGATATTACAGATCCAGTACCATTCAACAAATCTCTTGATGCTGTCTATTTACCTGTTCAGTGTTCTACCACTAATATGACACAATAAAAATTGCTAATTTTTTTTTGTTTGTAAAATTTTTATTGATATTTTTTCAATTCTTTTTTTCTTATAGATAAAATAATAATAATACTAAAAAATCATTGATGTCATTCTGTCGGAACGCATTTTCGATTCGAAAAACAAAACCTCGTAAAGCTGTCTCACGTTCACCACTTAAATTACCTGCTGATGAACTTGCACGTGAACTTGGACCACAATATCAAGCAATCGATGCTCGTGTTGGTAATCAAAAATTGGCATACGATATTGCACAAGGCGATTGGATGGCTGGTAATCTCTCACTCTCTTTTAATCATTTAATAGTATAGAATTGTGTTTTTTTTAATATTCTTTATATAGATGGAATAATTAGTACAGTAGTTCCTGCTCGTGAAATGGCAAAATTAGAAAAGAAAAAGCGAGAATTAGAAGAAGATAACAATGTTCTTCGAACTAGATTGGATATTCTACTTGAAATGCTTGCTGAAGTAACTGCTGAACAGGAACTTCGACGTACTGGTTAATAATTGAAAGCTAAACAATATGTAGGATTTTTTTCTGAAATATATTTTCTATGTATAATAATTGTTGTTTAACGCATTATATCTGATAGGGAAAGAACTCTTAAGTATACACGTGTAAACGTTTTTACGCTTGTTGTAGTCACACTTGAAATAAAATAAAACTAACGAGAAAATATTACTTCAACTGAATAATTTAATATATATGTGTAGTCAGATAGGGTGAACTTTATGTGATGAATGTTGTTGAACGGATATCTTCTATTCTATTGAAACTATGGTATAGATAAGTAATGTTAAATCTTAAAATAAAACGACGACATTGTACGAACATAGTACATGCTGTAGACTATTATCCATTTCAAAATATAATGTGCTCCACTGTTTTTTGAATAACTCGAGAACGCAAACAGCTAGAGATCTGCGGTTTTCACAAATCGAAAGAGGAGACGAGGGGACGTCTTTTTCTTCAATATTGTATAAGACGATATCATTTTAAAATCAGTAATTTTTGCAAGACATCGAAAAAAATGTACAAAGACAATCTGTCATTCAGATGAAATTTTGACAATAAGAAAATTTGCTTAATAATCAAAAGAATTCCATAATTTTTATGCGAGCAAATAGACGACTTTATTTGCTCAACATTAGGATAGAGGAAGATAATCATTCCAATTAGATCTTGAATTATTGATCTGAAGTTCTTCTCTATAGATCACATGCCAAAATCAAAATTTCATCGAAGTGATAGATCGTTTTCATGCACCTTTTGTCGTGTTTTGCAGAAATTACTGGTTTTAAAATGACTTTCGTCTTATACAATATTGGAGAAAAAGACGTGCCCCCGTCTCCTCTTTCGATTGATGAAAACCACAGATCCCTAGCTGCTTGCGTTTTCAAGTTATTGAAAAAACACTGGAGCACATTATATTTTTGAATGGACAATAGAAGCTCGATCAACTAAATACTCTATAAAAGTCGATCATTTGTAACATTGACAAGTCATCAAGCAAACACTCATCTCATAGAAGTTGTAAACATATGATAATAAGTCAGTCTTATCTTATTTTTTCATAATGATTATACATACAAACAGTTCTTTTATTGAATATAATTCTACTAGCAAACAAGAATTTGGTTGTTTGTTTACATTGATTTCATCTGATAAGGAACATAATTATAAAATATTAGACAATATTTATTACAATGAAGATACTTTTAAATCAAATCATTTCGAAAATAAATCTCAGTGTTTATCAACTGGTTACAAAAACAAAAAAAGAAAAAACTATCTGATACCTTCAGGGTGACTATTCAATTCTAATTAAAAAATTTTATTAGAAGTATCAAAATACGTTTCGGTCGGATCTGGATCTAAAATTTTTGAACCTGATAGGCTCTACTATACGCTGAATAATATCTACTTGTATGTCTAATTTCGAATGCATATCAATAAAAACAAGATTGAATAACAATTGTGCTCATTGAAGGTTTGATAACAATCAAAATTTCGTTTGTTCACTTGTGAGTCATATCACTAGTGCTAAAGTTAAGTGTAAAAAATTTTATGAAAGTTCATCGTGTAAAAATTACTTTTAACATTTAATATGCTATTTTTGTTTTAGTTGCAGTGTAAAAAGCAACAACAGATATGAAGTAATTTTTTTCATGCATCAAAGATGAAAATTTCAAATTATATAAAAAAAATACGACGGTTTTATACATACTTGAAATTGAGCCTTCTTATGATTGAAATCATTTTATTTATATACATCTTCATGAAAATCAATACAAAAAAAAATTGATTTTTGAATAGTCATTCTTTTAACTTCGAAAGAAAACTTTTTTTTATATACAATGTTTTAAATTATATTGCATTTTGCTTCAAGTTAATCATACCTGTTATCTTTCACTTTATCATTCATAGTCATCATATTTCATCATTTCTTTTTCTTCTTCTTCAAACGATAAACGTCTACCTGACCAACATCTCTATCATATTCAACACTTCAAAGTACTATAAAAGAAAAAGATATTTTATTTTTTCATTCAAACGTTGATTTATTTCTGTGAATGAATAAAGATGAGTAATATTAATTTTTGTGTCTATGATCGATGATATTACAACATAAGTATGATATAACGAATTCAATGAGCACGTTTATATAGCTGTATAGTTTTTTCTATTACGAAGATTATTTAATAAAAATAAATATCCTTTTATCAAAACTTAAGATTCATACTTATTTTATAGACGAAATGTCACGATCAAGATTATCCATTGTAAAAAACAATCCATTTGCTATTACGAAAACAAAACCACGCAAAAGTATTTCCCATTCACGACTTAAATTTTCTAGTGAAGAACTTGCACGTGAACTTGGACCACAATATCAAACAATTGATGTTCGTATTGGTAATCAAAGAATGATATTAAATATTGCTCAAGGAGGTTGGATACTTGGTAACATCTAATCTATCTAGTTTATACTATTTGAATTTTTGTCATCTCTTTAGATGAAACAACAATCGAATCTAAAGATATGACCGCATTAGAAAAGCAAAGATGTGAATTAGAAAAAGACAATACTATTCTTCGTACCAAATTAGACATGTTACTTGAAATGTTAGCTGAAGTTACCGCTGAAGGAGAGCTGCACAATGAATCTGATCAATAACAATAAAGCTATGTTTTGTTCTTTTTTTATAAATTATTCCATATCTATACAATAATCGATAAATAAAGAGAGAAAACAAAACAAATCTTGGTCGTATGTCTTTATTTTCAAGGATAGTTTTATTTATCATATATTATTTCAAACCATTATGTGTTGCTTTTACTTAGATGCAAGGGAATTAACCGAAATAAATACATTGAATTACTCATAATTAAATTTTTACATTCAAGGAAATAGCTGTAATGTGTCCTCAGGGTGAATATAAAATATGAACTAATTTTGCAACTGGATATAGATTACAACGATATACAAACGAAGTCATAGAAGAATATCATAGACGTTATTATTTAAATAAAATGCTTACTATTGAACTAGATAGTGAAAGGAATTCGAATAAAAAAGTATTACTAATTTTTTTAGTAGGCAGTGATCAATCGATTATGGACCGTCAGAAAGTATCTCATGATGATTTAAAGATACTTATGTTAAAACGATAAAAAAACAGTTTGAAACGGCAAAAACGGCGGTCGTAACGAGAGTTGTTTTCACTGGTACGGAAACGATCATCATAACGACAGTCGTTTTTCGTCGTTTTTGAGCCATTTATGGATCGTTATATACGATATGACATGAGTCGTATTATGATGAAAATAAAAAAAAAATAAAAAGCACAGGGGCGCATAAAACCGTAATTTGGTCCATTGGACTTTTCATATGATATCCAGCACAATCATATATAGGATCAAAGAGCCTCAACTGGCGAGTATTTTTCAATACATTTGCGGGCTTCCTATCTTATCATTTCGAATGACCTTATTACGAATACATAGTAACGACATCATAGTCTTTCAGATTAATTTTCTCTATATAAACTCAAGAAAGTCATCTTCAATTATACCTCATTGGATAGCTCTTTTCACGGGCTACAAAACCCTATAGTTTTTAAAATTATATAAGGTAGACACATCAAAAAGTCCAAGTCCACAGAGTAGAAAGTATGTCCATTATTACGGTGGGTGTGGGTGTATGGATGTGGGGCAGAGATGAAAGCAGTCTAGTTTTGTCTTGATCTGTACCGGCCCGAAAAAATCAGACCGAACCGGACCAGTCAGTATACCGGTAAAACTGGTCTAGACAGACAAAGACGGTCTAACGGTTAAAACTCTTCTGACTTGTCTATCGATAGTAAATTGGATACTGACAATGCGTCAGCTCATCAGGAAAATCTGACCTACCTATAAAATATCGAACTAAAGACAATAGGCTAAGAATTAAAATAATACCTTTTTCCATAGTGTCTCTTGAGGACTGCCTTCGTACCTTCACGTATGCTGTTCTAACGATTCATTGTTGATAACAACAGTCTCATTAAAGGATATTATAGAAAGCGTTTCTTTAACTAATTCCTGTGTGATCAGAGGGATTAACCTTGGCGCCTGTTGATTCTTTTTTTTAAGCGGATAGTATCACAAAGCAAGAAAGTTCAAGATATAGACTGGCGAAAATCGGCTTAGACCGGTTAAAACGATTTTCACCGATCAGAGCGGTTTGGACCGATCCAACCGGTTTAAAGCCGTCAGACCGATTGAGAGTAGTCAAACCCACCTACACAGGTCAAGGCCGATGAGACTAGTTTAGAGCGGTGTAGATCGGTCAGACCGGTTTGGACAGGTTTAGATTGGTTAGACCGGTTTAGACTGGTTTAGATCGATCGATCGAAAACCTAAACCAGTACTGGGCCCCATCACCCAGTTACCAGTACCGGTTCCATCTCTGGTGTGAGGTGTGGGTATGGATGCAGAAAAAGAGATACAATGCACCCACACCCACCATATAAATGGACGTAGATTTTACTCTGTGGTCTTGGACTTTTTGATGGGCCCATCTTGTATAATTTTAAAAACTATAGGGTTTTGTAGCCTGTGAAAAGAGCTATCCAGTAAGTTGTAATAGAAGCTAATTTATACGGATTTTTAAGAAAATCATTAATCAAATATGTTACATTTTATGTAAAAATGGACATAGTTTTTACTTTGTGGTATTGCATTTTTTGATGTGCCCACCTTGTATAATTTTAAAAACTATAAGATTTTGTAGCCCGTGAAAAGAGCTATCCAATGAGGTATAATTGAAGATGACTTTCTTGAGTTTATATAGAGAAAACTAATCTGAAAGATTATGATATCGTTACTATGTATTCGTAGTAACGTCATTCGAAATGATAAGGTAGGAAGTTCTCAAATGTATTGAAAAATACTCGCCAGTTGAGACTCTTTGATCCTATATATGATTGTGCTGGATATCATGTGGAAAGTCCAATGGACCAAATTACGTTCTTATGCGCCCCTATTCTTTCTATTTGTCCTATATGCAAATTGCAAATTCCTATAAACAACAATCAATAAGCCATTATTTTCGCTGTTTTCTTATAAAAATCTAAAATTAACCAGAGGACTCGAAAACACGTGAAGTATACCCTCTCAATAATTGAAAATCGTTCGTTATTATCTAGTAAAACTGGCAAGCGTTTTTTAATTTGTTACTACCTCTATGACACATTTTTTTATACATCCACACCCGAATCTTGAGATCTTCACGCTTCCTCGGACTCTAGCGAAGTAGTTTTCACGCATGTTGGTTCAAAATATTTTCACACCTATTTTCAATATGAATATATTTTACCAAACGCTTAAAGTCGATGTTTAAATTCTATATCTACCCGATTAGTGTCCAATGATTGTGCGATGCATCCACATTCTATATAAAGAAATTGTTTAATCAGTATTATATGTCATTCAAAATCTCATCGACTTAAGAAAA